CCAGGAGGCCCCCGGAGAGCCCTGAAGAGGCTCCCGCGAGGCTCCCCGAAGTGGCAAACAACCAACAACAAAAAAAGCCGCAAGTGTCTTCTGCTCCGGGGGTCGGCGGAAGGGCGCAAGCCTCTTGAAGCAAGTTCTGCTGCGGCTCGCGAGTGCAAGAAAGGGACGGGGAGGTGGAGAGGGGAGAGGGAAAGTCGAAGGAGAACGGGCCGTGATGACGGGGAACGACAGCGGAAGACCAGCTGGGGGGAGAACATCGAGCTGGAATCGGCGATGCATCGCCGACAGATCGGCGATAGGCCCCCGATGGCAAACCCGCACCGTCCTGGGCGGGATGGGCTATCGGGCCCCAGATCGGCGATGATCGGGCGATGGGGGGTCGACGACTCCCCCCTGACCGTCCCACCCCTCCCTAACGTGGCCCCTGAGGGAACAGGCCGTGGGGGGATGAACCCCCACCCGGCCGCCCTGGTGCGAAGACCGGTGTGCAGGACCTGGCGACACTCTCCAGCCGACATGGCGACCGAGGGCACGGCCGCGAGCACGGCTCTGCCTTCCACCGCTTCCGTCTTGAATCCGCCGACCCAGTCGGCGTGTGTGAGACGCTGTCGTCGTCTTCGCCGTCGTCGTCACCAGTCCCAAGGAAATCTAGGAGCGAACAGAGAAAAGAATCGTCGTCGTGGTCGTCGTCGTGGTCGCCGTCATCGTCGTCCTTCTAGGTCGGCGGCACCGGCCGTAAGGCCTTCACAATGTGACCTACAGCCCTCGTGCTACCATCAGCAACGTTGAGCAAGGAGCGAAGTGGCTCGTTCCGGCAACGTCGAGCCTCGGCCACGAGCAGGCTCGTTCCCGACCTGGACGCCCGGAACGGCCCGAACACCAGAGCCTCTCTTGAGCCCAGCAGCCCAGCGGGGTCCTTACTTCCGTGTCTCGACTGCGTGGCGGTAAGAAGCCGTCGGGGCGTCGCTTGATGCCTGGACGAGGCAATCAATCCCCACCCCCACCAGGGAAACCTTGGCCCCGCTAGGCCATCTACCGCCCCTGAGGGGAGGATGGGTACCCTCTCCCTCGGGTCTCGGAGCACCCATCCCCGACTGGAGGGGTACGCTGGAAAGGCCAACTCACCCTGCCCCAGTGGGGGTGGGGACGGTTCCGAAGATGATAAGAGTGGGGGACGCTAGACGAAGGGGGGGGAGAAAGGGGCGCGGCTCGGGCCCTCAAGGTCCCTCTTTGGGCCGTCAAGGGCCCCGTTGAGGGCCCCTCTTCTGCAGCCCCCGCTGGCCCCCAATTGATCGCCCCCCCCATTGCGCGGCGCCCAAGGCGACACGGAGAGGGGGCCTCCGGGAGGTACGGGAAAGGCTCCAGGAGGGGTCCCAAGGGAGGCTTCAAAGGGAAGGGTCAGGTGGGCACCCGCATGGCAGGCAGATTTCTGAAACACCGGCGGGGGGTCAGAAGTTGAAGTTCGTCTGCAGGCAAAAAAAAAAAACTCAACAGAGGTGTGCGCTACCCAGGCGCCTACCAGAGCCGCGGGGGTCGGGATTGGAAATGGTCGCAGATCTGATCCAGGGAATAGACTCAAGGAGGCAGGGCTTGGCACGACGGAAGGGGTCATGAGGGAACCGGGGCGTGGGTCCCAGGGCTTCCCCCAGGACCGACATTCATCCCCAGATTCTTGTTGACGGCCTCGTGGCCTAAGAAAACACTCTATGGACCGTTTCCTCCAGGACTCGCTTCCTTCATACGCAGGAGGCCCACTGGGGGCCTCCTAGGAGGAGGGAGCGAGCTGCCGGACGCGATCTTCCCAGCCGAGGGACCGCCAGCGCGAGGCCAGCGACCGCCATCTGCGCCTGGGACGCTCGTCGCTGAGCGGCCGCCGCCGCCGTCTGATTCTCCTGACCCTGATTGTCCTGATCCCCCTCCTCCTCCTCCTCCTCCTCCTCCTCCTCCTCCTCCTCCTCCTCCTCCTCCTCCTCCTCCTTGCCATCCTGCTCCTTGCCCTCCTCTTCTCCTTCCTCCTCCTTCCTCCTCCTCCTCCTCTTCATCCTCATCCTCCTCTCCTCTCCTCCTCTCTCCTCCTCCTCCTCCTCCTCCTCATCCTCTCCTCCTCCTCCTCCTCCTCCTCCTCCGCATCAGCATCATCATCATCATCATCATCATCATCATCATCATCATCATCATCATCATCATCATCATCATCATCATCATCATCATCATCATCATCATCATCATCATCATCATCGTCGTCGTCATCATCATCATCATCATCATTATCATCATCATCATCATCGTCATCGTCATCATCATCATCATCATCATCATCATCATCATCATCATCATCATCATCAGCATCAGCATCAGCAGCATCAGCATCAGCATCATCATCATCATCATCATCATCATCATCATCATCATCATCATAATGATCATCATCATCATCATCATCATCATCATCATCATCATCATCATCATCATCATCATCATAATCGTATCATCATCATCATCACCACCATCATAATCGTCAGTACCATCAGCATCATCATCAGAATCATCAGCATCAGCATCAGAATCAGCATAATCATCATCATAAGCCTCATCATCATCAGCAGCACCATCATCATCGTCAGCAGCAGCAGCATCATCATCATCATCAACAACATCGTCCTGATCATCATCCTCATCATCATCAGCATCATCAGCATCATCATCATAATCATCAGCATCAGCATCAGAATTAGCATCATCAACATCAGCTTCATCATCATCAGCAACATCGTCCTCATCATCATCAGCAGCATCATCATCGTCATCATCAGCAGCATCATCATCAGCATCCTCATCATCGTCCTCATCATAATTAGTCTCCTCCTCATCATCCTCCACCTTCTGCTTTACCTCCTCCTCCGCCTCCTCCACCTCCTCCTTCTCCTCATCAGCATCATCCCGTCATCATGGAATCGTCATCATCATCAGCATAGTCGCCCTCATCCTCATCCTCATCATCATGGTAATTACCATGATCATCATCTGAAGAAGAAGAAGAAGATGGTGAAAGTGAAGTACCCGAACTCTTGAATAACCCCACAAAGGTATGAAATCAAACTCCAGCAACCTGACCGTCCTGAGGAAGGTCGTGGTCCAGAGGATGTAGCCTTTCAGCCATGTCGGTACCCAAAACCACCATCGCCATCTCAACAGCGGCGGTCAGCTTGGTCGCACGTCATGATCATCATCATAATCATCATCATGAGCTCTTCGAGGATTCGGAGGTTAGCTCGGATTTCGTGAAGTTGGATGTGTCGTTGCTTCGTGGTCTGGACGTCTAGAGTGCTAAAGATCATCCGCAGGCGAATCAGAGGCCCGTGGTGGTTGAAGGTGGCCCCTGGAAGTGTTACTGTATGAATGAGGGCGTGGAGTGTCGGTCCAGTTTTGCTACGTGTAAGAAGCTGTCTGCACACATACAGCGACATCACAAGCAAATGGATGTATGGTCGGGCCTGGTGGTCAGAAATCAATGCACTGTGTGCTGTGAAGTTTCTCGTCTCGACTTGCGGCCCTTCATCACCTACAAGCCAGAGTTTTTCGACCAAATCATCGTTCAGTGTCCAGATTTGCGGGGGAGGTGGTGGTCCCGACGGTCCTGGAGTGCGTGTTCTGTAGTCATAGGGCTCGTGCTCTTCCTGAACTGCACGATCATTTGCTTGGACACGCACCTTCCCACGTTCGGTGGCAGCACGTCGCTGCAGGAGCCCAAGTGGGGCATCAAGCGGGCCGCAGAAGGAGACGCCGGCGTGGAGGGCGTCGAGCGTCAGCTCGTCGAGGCGGGCGCGAAGGCCACCACCAGGAAGGAGCAGCTCAAAAAAATTGTGGTGCTCCTGGCGGCGCTGGCGCTCACGCAGGCGGCGGAGGTGAGAGACATCATCGGGGCGACGTTCTACACCGCTCTGCTGGCGGCGGACCATGTCATCGCCAAGGCGATGGCGCATGCGGGCAAGGACTACCACACGGCGGCGAAGGATCTGAAGGGGAAGCCCAAAGGCGAGATCGACCTGCTGGGACCTCCCTTCCTCCACGTCTTCAAGGAGCTGGTGCGAGCGGCCCATGGGCTGGCGGCGCTGGCGGAGAACCACAAGACAGTGCTGGGCAAGTTCTGGGAGGAGGTCATCCTCCAGTAGCCGCTGGTGAAGGTGGCGGAGCCGGTGAGGCACTGCCGCTGCAGGCTGACGCACAGGGAGGAGGGGGTGGGCAACAAGATTCGCATCATGCTGTGCTTCCCCAACCAGTGGCAGGAGCTCGAGAGCGCGGTGCTGTCGGCGCTGAGGGTGGCCGACGCCGAGTTCAAAGCAGGCCCGCCCCCGAAGGGCCCACTGGAGCGCGAAGTGGGCAAGCTCCTGGACGATCTCAACAGGATGTGAGTGAGGTGAGTCCTGCTGAGCTGAAGAAGTTGGCCCGCCGTCTCTCTTTTTTTTCTGAGCGCATGGCTAGCATGTTGCGAGCTGGGCAGCCTGACCCAGGCTTGGCTGTTGCTTTTTTGAGGCGGAAGGAGGGGAGGGAGATTCCGCCCGCTTCGTCGAAGAGAAAGGCCAGGACATAGTTATGTGTGCAGGTATGGCTGATGTGCTGCCTGGTCAGCTCTAGCGGGCCACCAGCATCAGCGGCGCTAACGAGCCCGTGCCCGACGACGCACGGGCCTGCGAGAGCGGTGTGGTGGACTCTTTCTCACGAGTTGCAGCCCCGACGCAGCTACGAGGATGTCAGGCCTGCTGCTCGTACCGATGCTGCAATGTCGATTGATTGGTTGATCCTCATTATCATCATTATCATCATTATCATCATCACCATCCTCATCCTCATCCTCATCATCATCATCATCATCATCATCATCATCATCATCATCATCAGTAGCAGCAACGTCAGCATCAGCAACATGATCATCACCATCAGAATCACCATAATCATCCTCATCCCCATCATCATCCTCATCATCATCAGCAACAGCATCACCATCATCATCATCATCATCATCATCATCATCATCATCATCATCAGCAGCAACATGGTCATCACCATCATCATCCCATCATCAGCATCAGCATCATCATCATCAGCGTCAGCATCATCATCATCACAATCATCAGCATCATCATCAGTATCATCATCAGCAGCAGCATCATCACCATCATCAGCAGCATCAGCATCGGCATCAGCATCATCATCAGCATCAGCATCAGCAGCATTATCATCAGCATCAGCATCAGTATCATCCTCATGTTCATCCTCATCATCATCCCCATCAGCATCAGCAGCAGCAACAGCAGCATCATCATCAGCATCATCAGTATCATCCTCATGTTCATCCTCATCATCATCCCCATCGGCATCAGCAGCAGCAACAGCAGTATCCTCATCATCATCATCATCATCATCATCATCATCATCATCAATATCATCATCATCATCATCATCATCATCATCATCATCATCATCATCATCATCCGTCTCGTCCTCCTCCAAATTATCAGCAGCATCATCAGCATCCTCATCATCATCATCATCATCATCATCATCATCATCTTCTTCATCATCCTCCTTGCCACCAGAATCATCATAACAACGACCACCACCACCATCATCATCATCATCATTATAATCATCAACATCAGCAGTAGCATCAGCATCATAATCAGCATCATCTGCATCACCATCATCAGCATCAACATTAACCATCAGTGGCATCAGCAGCATCATGATCAGCATAATCAGGATCCTCATCATCGGCATCATCATCACCAGCATCAGCATCATCATTATAATCAGCATCAGCATCATCAACATCATCATCAGCATCATCATCATCATCATCATCATCATCATCATCATCCGCATCGACATCATCATCAGCACCATCAGGATCATCGGCATCGCCATCGCAATCGTGCATCCTCCTCATCAGCCGAATCAGCAGCATCATCATCGTCATCATCATCAGCATCAGCATCGTCATCATCATCATCAGCAGCACCAGCATCATCATCATCAGCAGCAGCAGCATAATCATCACCATCATCATCAGCATAATGATCAACGGCATCTCCGTCGTAGTCGTCGTCGTCGTCCGCATCATCATCATCATCATCATCAGCAGCATCATCATCATCGTCATCATCATCAGCATCAGCATCAGCATCATTCATCATCAGCATCAGCATCGTCATCACCCTATGTATCGTCAGATTCAGCATATTCCTCCTCCACATCCTCACCATCCTCACAATCATCAGCATTGCCGTCATCTGCATCATCTCCAGCAGCATCATCATCAGCATCAGGATCAGCATCATCATCATCAGCAGCATCCTCATCATCCTCATCAGCATCACCATCATCATCATCGTCATTACTAGCATCAGCAGCATCATCATCGTCATCATCAGCATCATCACCATCATCAGCAGCAGCATCAACAGCATAATCGTCCTCGTCCTCATCATCAGCACCATCATCATCAGCATCAGCATCATCATCAGCAGCATCATCGTCGTCATCATCGTCATCGTCCGCACCATCACCACGATCATCAGCACCACATGCATCACCGCCATAATCACCTGAACCATCATCCTGCCCACATCATCATCAACGTCTCTACCCGCGTCATCCAAATCATCAGCATCGTAATCGCCGTGATCATCTTCAACACCTTATTCGACGCGGAGATTCCCAGGAGTGCGTATCCGCTTCCGTGCCTTCAGGTGAATGTTTTCGTATTCGGCGTTTGGACAGTGGGCGAAGGGTGGGGGAGGGGGGAGGGGGTCTGAGTCCAGACATCCGCTTCATGCGACTGTTTGCAACCGTGCGTGCCATGGGGTAGGCTCCACCTGCTCGAAACAGGCGCCAAAAACAGCCAAGATCTGCTCAATGGGGAGGGAGGAGCGGGGGGGGCTCGAGGGCCCGCGCCGATCGGCAACACAGTGAATGAGAAGAAGAGCACCAGCTCAAAATGAAATGCCTAAAGGGTCATAGAGATCCTGAGGCTCATCCTGCCCCCTCCTCCTCTTCCCACATCTTCCGCCTCAGTCTCCTCCTCCTCCTCCTCATCATCACCCGTTTCATCATCCTCTTCCTCCCTACAGCCACCACCACCACCACCAGCATCATCAGCAGCAGCAACAACGTCGGCGTTATCGTCATCACCAGTATCATCATCCTGCTCCTCTTCCTCCACCTCATCCTCCTCATCATCATCATCATCGTGGTCGCCGCCGTCGTCAGCATCACCTTCATCATAACCGTCGTAATCCTCGTCATCAGCATCATAAACATCACCATCCACATCACAATCACGTCAATCATCAGCATCATCATCAGCAGCATCAGCAGCAGCAGCAGCGTCATCATCCACGTCAGCATCACCGTCCTCGGCATCATCTGCATGATCGCTATCATCAACATCATCCTCGCCATCATTGTTATCACATCAACATGAACTTCCCCTGGTAGTCATCATCCAGCCTGTAAGATTCGTCAGCAGGGCGGGGCGAGGGGGGCGAGGGAGGAGAGAGGAGGCTGGAAGGAAGAAGAATGGGAGGGAGAGAGGGCGACGAAAGGAAGAGTCAAGGTGAGGAAGAGAAGGGAAGGAGAAGGAGGTTGACGGGGGAGGGGGAGGAGGCTAGGGACATCGTGGATTTCCCCAGGGATCCCTCTCATGGGCGGCAACATTGCCGTTCCGTTGTTGCTCCTTCCCCTTCTCCTCCACCCCGCATCATCGTCATCCTCCTTTCATTCATCATCATCGTCCTCATCGTCATCATCATCAGCATCACCATCAGAATATCACAATGACCAAAAGTATCCTCGCCCTCCTCCTCCTCCTCCTCCTCCCATCATCATTTTCTCCCCTCCTTCACTGCGCCTGCTGGAAATGGAAATACTCCCTCCTCGCTCACATCCTCCTCATCCTCCCTATCCTCATCCCCCTCTATCCCCCCCTCCTCCTCCTCCTCCTCCTCCTCCTCCTCCTCCTCCTCCTACTCCTCCTCCTCCTACTCCTCCTCCTCTCCCTCCTCCCGGGTCTCTCCACGAGAGCCGTCCTGAGAGGTGGCGCAAGCAGCATGAAGCCGTGACGCAGGACAGAGAGGGGCAGGAGGGAGCAGGGACGTCGACAGGACGAGGAGGCCAGGAGGGACGAGGCATGAGGGTCTCGACGACCACAACGACGACGAGACGACGAGACAGAGCATCGCCGGGCGCGAGCGAGCCTCTGCGGGCGGGCTCGAAAGGCGCACCGCCAGCAGCACCGCCGCGAGGACGGCGACCACGGCGCCCGGGGTGCGAGGCCAGGCCTGCGGGACCGCTCCCCCGACGTGGGTCCTCCTCGGCCTCCGCGGACCCCGTCGTTCTCGCCCGCATCCTGCTACTCCTCGCACTCGTTGGCGTCCTGCTGCACCTCATGCTTCTCGTCCTCATCCTCATCCCCCACCTCCTCGTCTCCCTCCTCCTCCTCCTCCTCGTTCACCTCCTCATCATCACCACCAACACCATCATCATCATCATCATCATCATCATCATCATCATCATCATCATCATCATCATCATCATCATCATCATCATCACCATCATCATCATCATCATCATCATCATCATCTCATCATCATCATCATCATCATCACCATCACCACCATCATCACCATCATCACCATCGTCATCACCATCATCATCGGCATCGGCATCGGCATCATCAACACCATTATCAGCATCAGCATCATCATCAGATTCATCATCATCACCACCATCATCAACATCGTCGTCGTCGGCGGCGTCGTCGTTGTCCGCGGCGTCGTCGGCGGCGGCGTCGTCGGCGGCGGCGTGGTCGCGGTCGTGGTCGTCGTCGGCGTCGCCGCCGGCATCGTCGTCGTCGTCGGATGTGGTGGTCGTCGTCGCCGCCGCCGCAGCCGTCGTCGTCGTCGTCATCGCAACCGTCGCGGTCGCATTCGTCGTCGTTGTCGTTGGCGGCGTGGTCGTCGTCGTAGTCGTCGTCATCGGCTGCGGAGGCGGCAGCGGCGGCTTGGTCGTCGTCGTCGTGGCCGTCGTCGTTGTCATCGGCAGCTTGGTCGTCGTCGTCGTCGTTTTCGCCATCGTCGTCGTCGGCGGCATGGTCGTCGTCTTGGTCGTCGTCGCTAGTTGCGGCGGCAGCGGCTGCGGCGTGATCGTCGTCGTCGGCGAGGCGGCGTCGTAGTCGCCGGCGTGGTCGTCGACATCGTCCTCGGGGATGTCGTCGTCGCCATCGTCGTCGTCGGCGGCATGGTCGTCGGTGTCGTCGTCTTCGTCGTCGGTGTGGTCGTCGTCGTCGTCGGTGTGGTCGTCGACGTCGTGGTCGTCGTCATTGTGGTCGGCGGCGTGGTCGTCGTCGACGTCGTAGTCGTCGTCATTGGCGTCGGCGGCGTGCTCGTCCTCGTCGTCGTCGTTGTTGTCGGCAGCGGCGGCTTGGATGTCGTCTTCGTCGTCGTAGTCGGCGGTGGCGTCGTCGTCGTCGGCGTCGTGGTCGTCGTTGTAGGCGGCGTCGTCGGCGGCGTCGTCAGAGGCGTTGTCGTCGTCATCGTCGTCGTCGGCGGCATGGTCGTCGGTGTCGTCGTCTTCGTCGTCGGTATGGTCGTCGTCGTCGGTGTGGTCGTCGACGTCGTGGTCGTCATTGTCGTCGGCGGCGTGTTCGTCCTCGTCGTCGTCGTTGTTGTCGGCAGCGGCGGCTTGGTCGTCGTCTTCGTAGTCGTAGTCGGCGGTGGCGTCGTCGTCGTCGGCGTCGTGGTCGTCGTCGTAGGCGGCGTCGTCGGCGGCGGCGTCGGAGGCGTTGTCGTCGTCGTCGTCGGCCGCGTCGTCGTCTGCATGGTCGTCGTCGGTGTGGTCGTCGGCGGCGTGGTCGTCTTCGTCGTCGTCGTCTGCGGAGTGGTCGCTGTATGTCATCGTCGTGGTCGTCGTCGTCGGCGACGTGGTCGTCGTCGTCGTCGTCGGCATTGCCATGGTCGTCGCCGTCGTCCACGGCGGTGTCGTTGTCGCCATCATCGTCGTCGGCGGCGTGGTCGTCGGTGTCGTCGTCGTCGTAGTCGTCGTCGTCATCATTGGCGGCGTGTTCGTCGTCATCGTCGCCGACGGCGGCTTGGTCGTCGTCGTCGCCGACGTTGTCGTTGCCAGTGTGGTCGTCGTCGCCGACGGCGGCGTCGTCGGCGGCGTGGTCGTCGTCGACGTCGTCGGCTTGGTATGGTCGTGGTTGTGGTCGTCGGTGTCGTCGTCTTCGTCGTCGTGGTCATCGGCGGAGTGATCGGTGTCGTGGTCGTCGTCGTCGGTGTCGTCGTCTTCGTCGTCGCCGCCGTCGGCTGAGAAGGCGTCGTCGTCGTCATCGGCGGAGGGGGCGTCGTCATCGTCGGCGTTGTCCTCGTGGTCGTCGTCGTGACCGTCGTCGTTGTCGTCGGCGGCGTGGTCGTCGTCGTCGTCGAAGGGTGGTCGTGTTAGTCGTCGCCTTCGTCGTCGTCGCCGTGTTCGTCGTCGTCGACGTCGTCGGCGGCGGTGTCGTCGTCATCGGCGATGGCGTCGTCGTTGTCGACGTCGTCGTCGTCGTCATCGGCGGCGGCGGCGGAGTCGCCGTCGTCGGCGAGATCGTTGTCGTCGTCACCGGTGGCGTCGTCGTCGTTCTCGTCGGCGTCGTCATCGCCTGCAGCGTGGTCGTCGTCGTAGGCGACGTGCTCGTCGTCGGCGGCGTGGTCATCGTCGTCGGCGTCGTCGGCGTCGTCGTCGTGGGCGGCGGCTTGGTCGTCGTCGTCGTCGTCGGCGTCGTCGGCGAGGCGGTCGTCGTCGCCGTCGTCGTCGTCGACGGCGTCGTCGTCATAATCGTCGTCGCCGTCGGCGGCGGCGTCGTGATGGTCGTTGTCGGCGGCGTGCTCGTCGTCGTCGTCGTCGACGGTGACGGCGGCGGCGGCGTCGTCGTCGTAGTCGTAGTCGTCGTCGTCGTAGGCGGCGTCGGCGGCGTGGTCGTGGTCGTGGTCGTGGTCGTGGTCGTCGTCGTCGTCGTCGTCGGCGGCGGCGTGGTCGCCGACGACGTCGTCGTCGTGGGCGGCGTGCTCGTCGTCGTCGTCGGCGGCGGCTTGGTCATCGTCGTCGTGGGCGTCAGCGGTGGCGTCGTTGACGTCGTCGGCGTCGTCGTCGTCGACGACGGCGGCGAAATCGGCGGCGGCGGCGGCGTCGGCGGCGTAGTCGTCGTTGTCGTCGTCGGCGTCGTCTGCAGGGTGATCATCGTCATCGTCAACGGCGACGTGGTCGTCGTCGTCATCGTCCTGGTCGTCGTCGTCGTCGTCATCGTGGTCGTCGTCGTCGTCAGCGGCGTGGTCGTCGGCGTCGTCGGCGGCGTGGTCATCGTCGTCGTCGTGATCGTCGTCGTCGTCGTCGTCTTCGTTGTCCTCGTCGTCGTCGTCGGCATCGTCGGCGTCGTCGTCGTCGACGACGTCGTCGTCATCGCCAACTCCCACTCCCCCTTCCGTTCCTTATTCTCTCACCTGTCCCTTTTTCATCCCTCCTCCGAGCGGAACAACGGTGTACTGGAAACGACTGGGGATGGCCGGAGAGCCTCTGCCGCGGGCAGCTGCAATCGGGGGGGGGTGGGTTGGCGCAAGGGAGGCCGAGAGCCTCTGTCCCGCGCAGCTGCAAGGTAGGCCTCGCACCTGGCGCTTCCGGAGGACGCACCCGCCCCCGTCGCGGGCGAGCAACTGGCAGGCCTGAGCTGCATCGAGTCGCGAAATCGGACACTAGCCTTGGTGCCTGACACCGAGCGAGCGGATCGTTCCCCCTTGAACGACCAGGGGCTCTCCGATCGCCAGATCTTTCCGAGTTGGCCGATCCCGGGCCAGCGGCGGCGCTCTCCACCTTGTACGCCCGCGCTGGGCCGCTGCCGCGTGGACACGGTGCGAGCCTGCCCGAAGGGTGTCCGGCACCCGCCAGGGGCAGGGCTCGCAAGTGCTCGCCCCGCCCTGGGAGGGCGAGGCCGAGGAGGCCGCGGGCCTCGCCAAGCCGGCTCGGAGCGGAAACGCATCGCAGCGGCTGCGAAGCGCGCCGGGCCGACTCGGAATCGGGTCGCCGCGCCCGGCTCCGGCCGGCCCTGGCCGACACCAGCGAAGCGAACCGGAGTCGCGTCGGAGTCGCGGCCCCAGCCAGCGACTCGAATCGGACCGTGGGCGGCCCTGACTGGCCCCGGGGACCCTGGCATCTGCGCGCACCTCGCGGGTGGCCAGGGGAGGGGCGGCGCGAGGGACTGCGCCGAGCCAGGTGGGGCGTTCCGAGCCCGAGCGTCCTGGGGTTCCGTGGGGTCCTCAATGCATTGAGCCTGGCAAAGGCCTGCGAGGGGCCTCGACCCCCGTGCTCCAGGGGCGCTCCTGGGCGCAGTCGCGGCGTCCCACAGAACTTTGCGCGAGGCCCTGATAGCGTGACCGCGGTTTTCAACCTCCAGCGCACTCTAACATGGCCCCAGGGTGCCGTCCAGGGGCTCTCCTGGGGGCTTCGTGAACTGTCTTGGCGGTCCCAGGGGACGCCCCAAGAGCTTATAGAAATCATGCTGAAAAGCATGTGGTTGGTGCATGCTGTTCGCGTACTCGCCTTTCGGTCTTCAGAGCGTTCAAGACCAAGACGATCCCAGGCCTCCAAGAGAGCGCCAAGAGAAACTAAGAGGCCCCAAAAGGGGCCCGAGAGGCCCCTAAGAGTGGGAATTCGGACTGCCATTCGGAGCTCCTCACCCCGAGAGGGCTCGCGAGACAGTCAGCAAGCTCCCAGGATAACCCCTAGAGGGCCCCAGAGACCCCAAGCAGCCCTGGGCAAGGTTGCGGGATGAGCCGAAGGGCAACGCATGGTGCCTCTCGTGCGCCTGTTCCAGGCAATTGGGATAGATTGGGCCGTCTTGGCCCTTCTGAGCTTCTGGAACCCCTCCGAGGCAGTCTGGAATCCCTTCTTGGGCCCACTGGCCATTTCCAAAATCGTGCTCTGGTTACAGACTGCCTCCCAATTCGGCACGGATGGAGGGCGGCTCCTCTTCAAAATCTGGCTCTTGCCGGCGACTCCCTCGCAACTCTTGACACTGAAGCTCAAAGCGTCCCGCAATTCAACGGATAGAGGGCGGCTCATGTTCCACATCGTGCTTTCGCCTGGTACTCCGAATCGTTGCCAGCTGCACAGACGGTGAAGGTGACTCGTACGTAAAGTTGAGTTCTCGCATAGCTTCTACCAGCTACATGGACGGAGGGCGAGTCTCCCTCGAACCCGGTGTGGTTTTGCCATCATCCGGAGGCAAATACTACTTGGATCGTTGATGTGAATGTTACAACCGACAGGCAACTCACCTTTCCAGCCCGGTCACTTCCTGTGGCAGAGAGATAAGGTTCCGCCTCTTCCAGCCTTCGCAAGTCCGAGACCTCTGGCCTGGCCAGTCACAACTCCGGCCCTTCCAAATCCTGAACCTGTATGTAACAGGCCCAGGAGACTCTGACCGTTCCAGCTGGCGCTCGCAATAGTGAACCAGAATACTTGCATTGGCTTTTGACGATGAAACTTGAGAAGAGAGGGCATGTTGCAACAACGGATGCGCGCTGGCTACATTATTGTCATTCATCTACTGAGCCCCGCACCCCTCCTCCCCAATGTGTCACAAAAAGAGCCTCATGCTATTTTCACCTCATCCGACTCCGACTCCGATTCCTCGCCCTCATCCATCCTCCAATTACTCATCATAATCATAAGCAGCATCGTTATCACCATCACCACAATAGTCCCCATCATCATCATGATCATACACGTCAGGATCCTCATCAACATCGCCATCATCATCACCACCATCATCATCATCATCATCATCATCATCATCATCATCATCATCATCAGCATCATCATCATCATCAGCAGCATCGACATCATCATCAGCATCATCATCAGCATCAACATCGTCAGCATAATCATCAGCATAATCATCAGCATCGTCAGCATCAGCATCAGCATCAGCATCATCACCATCATCAGCAACAGCAACATCAGCATGGTCGTCCTCATCACCATCAGCATCATCATTATCATCATCAGCAGCATCATCATCAGCAGCATGAGCATCATCAGCAGCAGCAGCACCATCATAATCATCCTCTTCCCCCTCGACCACCACAACCATCATCATCATCATCCACCACAACAGCCATCTTCTCCACCACCACCACGACCATCAGCATCATCAGCATCATCAGCATCATCAGCATCATCAGCATCATCAACCCCAGCACCATCATCAGCTGCATCATCATCATCTTCTTCATCATCAGCATCATCATCATCAACATCATCATCATCATCAGCATCAGCATCATCATCATCATCATCATCATCATCACCACCATCAGCATCATCATCATCATCATCATCATCATCAGCATCATCATCATCATCATCATCATCATCACCATCACCATCACCATCACCATCACCATCACCATCACCATCATCATCATCATCATCATCATCATCATCATCATCATCATCATCATCAGCAGCAGCAGCATCATCAGCATCATCATCATCATCATCATCATCATCATCATCATCATCATCATCATCATAATGAGCATCATCATCGTCGTCGTCATCGTCATCACCAGCAGCAACAGCATCATCCCTCCTCCTCATCCTCCTCCTCCTCCGCGTCGTCGTCCCAGTCGCCGTCGCCGTCACTGTCGTCGTCATCGTGTTCGTCGTCGTCGTCGTTGTCGTCGTCGCCGTCGTCGTCGTCATTCTCGTCGGCGCCGTCGTCAACGACGGCGGTCGCACGCGGCGCGCACGCAGCGCGCGCGCGGGGACTAACAGGCTCCAGCACGCACGCGGCAGAGAAAGGGGCTACTGCGGCGCTGCCCCCCCTGTACCCCCCCCCCCCCGGGGGGCCTCCTGGGAACCCGAGAGCAGGAGCGCGCCGCGTCGCACGCTGCTGCTGACGGCCTCGGGGGGTGGCGAAAGCGCCCCTTCCTCGTCCTCCTCGACCTCCCCTCCGCCTCCCTCCCTCCATCCCTCCCTCCCTCCCTCCCTCCCCCCCATCCTCCCTCCCCTCCCCTTCCCTCTGTCCCCCGCTCCTCCCCCTCACGTCCCGTTCCCCTTTGCTCTTCTCCTCCTGTGTTCCTTCTCACCCTCCTCAGTTTTCCTCCTGCTCCGTCTAATCCTCCTCCTCCTCGTCCTCCTCTTCCTCCTCCTCCTCTTCCTCCTTCTCCTCGTCCTTCCTCCTCCTCCTCCTCCTCCTCCTCCTCCTCCTCCTCTCCTCCTCCTCCTCCTGTTCCTGTTCCTGTTCCCTCCTCCTCCTCCTCCTCCTCCTCCCTCCTCCTCCCTCCTCCTCCTCCTCATGATACTCCTCCTCCTCCTCCTCCTCCTCCTCCTCCTCCTCCTCCTCCTCCTCCTACTCCTACTCCTATTCCTATTCCTATTCCTATTCCTACTCCTCCTCCTCCTCTTCCTCCTCCTTCCTCCTCCTCCTCCTCCTCCTCCTCCTCCTCCTCCTCCTCCTCCTCCTCCTCCCCATCCTCCTCCTCATACCATCATCCACATCATCCACATCATCAGCATCAGCATCAGCATCAGCATCAGCATCAGCAGCATCAGCATCAGCATCAGCACCGTCACCGTCACCAGTATCATCATCATCATCATCATCATCATCATCATCATCATCATCATCATCATCATCATCATCATCAGCATCATCATCATCATCAGCATCATCATCATCATCATCATCATCATCATCATCATCATCATCATCATCGTCATCATCATCGTCATCATCATCATCATCATCATCATCATCATCATCATCACCATCATCATCAACATCATCATCGTCATAATCATCCTCATTACCATCATCATCATCATCATCATCATCATCATCAGCAGCAGCAGCAGCACCATCAATCAATCAATCATCATCATCATCATCATCATCGTCATCATCATCATCATCATCATCATCATCATCATCATCAGCATCATCATCATGAGCATCAGCATCAGCATCATCAGAATCATCAGCATCAGCAGCATCATCATTAGCAGCAGCATCAGCATCATCATCATCATCATGATCATCATCAGCCGCATCAGCATCAGCATCATCATCACCAGAATCAGCATCATCATCATCATCAGCACCATCATAATGATGATCGTCATCATCATCAGTATCATCATCGTCATCAGTATCAGCATCATCATCATCAGCGTCATACTCATAATCATCATCAGCATCAGCATCAGCATCAGCATCATGGTCATGATCCTCATCATCATCATCAGCATCAGCATCAGCATCAGCAGCATCATCACCATCGTTATCGTCATCGTCATCATCATCGACATCGTCATCAACAGCAGCATCAGCATCAGCATCAGCATCAGCATCATCAGCATCCTCATCATCACCATCAGCAGCATCATCAACATCATCATCAGCATCTTGAAAATACGAATAATGAACATATATGGTAATGATAATACTAAGAAAAGAACAATCATAATAGTAATAATCAGCATCATCATCATCACCAACAACAACCTCAACGTCATCAACATCATCATCATCAGCATCATCATCAGCATCATCATCACCACCAGCATCATCATCGTCATCACCATCATCATCAACACCATCACCATCACATCACCATCGCCATCACCACCTTCACCATCATCATAATCAGCATGATCGTCGTCGTCATCATCAGTATCAGCATCATCCCCCGTGTCCCCGTAGTATTCGTATTCGCCGTGCTAGAATTATGTGTAGTAGTAGTCTTCGTCAAACGATTCGTCTTCGTAGTATTGACAATCGCGTAAGTATTCGTATTGTTCTTTCGATTCAAAAGTAGTACCACTAGTAAACTCGTAGTATTAGAATAATTCGTAACCTGCCATTTTTCGAATAATACTAACATAAGTGTCAGTAGTCCTCACCATCATCGTCCTCCTCTTCTTCCTCATGTTCCTCCTCCTTATCCTCGTCCCCGCCCCCCACCTCATCATGTTCTACCTCCTCATCCTTCTCCTCCACGTCCTCCTCCTCCTCATCGTCATCATCAGCAGCATCAGCACCAGAATCAGCATCATCAGCATCAGCAGTATCGTCGTCATCATCATCTCCATCTCCGTCACCACCACCGTCACCATCACCATCATCATCCTGATCAGCATCATCATCATCATCATCATCATCATCATCATCATCAGCATCAGCATCAGCATCATCATCATCATCATCATCATCATCATCATCATCATCATCATCATCGTCACCATCGCCATCGTCGTCATCAGCGTCATTATAACCAACACCGCCACCATTATCATCAGCAATAGCATCACCAGCATTAACATCATCATCAGCATCATCATCAGCAGCATCATCACCAGCACGATCACCATCCCACAGCCATCATCACCATGCCATCATCACAACCATTATCGTCATCATTATCATCAGCATCATCATCATCATCATCATCATCATCATCATCATCATCGTCAGCAGCATCATCATCAGTATCAGCAGCCAAATCAACATCAGCATCGCCATCGTCATCATCATCACCATCATCACCACCCTAACCATCACCATCACCATCATTACCACCATCACCATCATCATCATCATCAACATCATCATCAGCATCATCATCATCGTCATCGTCATCGTCATCATCGTCCTCGTCATCATTATCAGCATCAGCATCATCATCATGAGCAGCATCAGCATCGCCATCATCCATCATCGTCATCATCAGCATCATGAGAATCATCAGCATCATCATCACCATCATCATCACCACCACCGTCATCAGCATCAGCATCAGCATCAGCATCATCATCAGCATCATCTGCATCATCATCCTCACCGTCATCACCATCATCATCATCATCATCATCATCATCATCCTCATCATCAGCATCAGCATCGCGTCCCTCTTCCTCCTCCTCATCATCCTGCCCCTCATTTTCCTCGTCCTCATCCTCCTCCTCCTCCTCCTCCTCCTCCTCCTCCTCCTCCTCCTCCATCTCCTCTTCCTCCTGTTCCTCTTCCCTATCCTCCGTCCTCCCTCCATCCCTCCCTCCCTCCCTCCCTCCCTCCCTTCCTCCGCCTCCCTCCCTCCATCCTTCCCTCCCTCCCTCCCTCCCTCCCCCCCAGCCTCCCTCCCCTCCCCTTCCCTCTGTCCCCCGCTCCTCCCCCCTCCCTCCCGTTCCCTCTTGCTCCTTCTCCTCCTGGTTGTCCTTCTCCCCCTCCTCAGTTTCCTCCTGCTCCGTCTCATCCTCCTCCCCTCCTCCTCCTCCTCCTCCTCCTCGTCCTCCTCCTCCTCCTCCTCCTCCTCCTCCTCCTCCTCCTCCTTCTCCTCGTCCTTTTCCCCTCCTCCTCCTCCTCCCCTCCTCCTCCTCCTCCTCTCCTCCTCCTCCTCCTCCTCCTCCTCCTCCTCCTCCTCCTCCTCCTCCTCCTCCTCCTCCTCCTCCTCCCCCTCATCTTCCTCATTGCCCTTGAATTCTATTATTTCCTCTTCGCCGTGAAAAAGAGGTTGGGGACAGCGCATCAAAGCAGGGGCGTGGAGTACTCTTCCCCAATTTGGGGCCCGAGTTGTCCAGGCGGACCAGCAATGGAGCAAGTGTTCTTGCTCGCGCCGTGCCCACGGGGGGGAGGGGGCGCCCTACGGGAATCTATATTACCTTGCAAAGGGTGTCTGGAGCTCCGACCACTTGATTCCGCGTCGCACCGCACCGCCTCCTGCCCCGCCCCACTCCTACTCCTCCCCAGCGTTCCCCAGTGGCCCAGTGGAACATTCGCACAGTGCCCCCTCCGCCCCGACTGCGTTATTCCTGTTCCTCGTCGCACCGCACCCGCCCCCCCCTCCCCGCCCCCCCCCCACCCCCGCCCCAGCCCCCCCCTGCCCCCCCGCACCCCCCAGAAAATACCCTTCCCCCCACCCCCCCAGCCCCCCCCCCCTTCCCAAGTGGCCCGGTGAACTCGCGTCAGTGGCCCCTTCCGCCCGACCACTCAATCCAGCGTTTGCAAACCGCAATCCGAGCCCCCCCCTCTCCACCGCCCTCCCGACCTCCCCAGCCCTGCCTCTGCCGCTCCCATCCCAACCCTCCCCAGCGTGCCCCGAAGGCCAAGTGGAATTTCTGCCCTGTGCCACCTCCGCCCCGATTGTTTATTCCTGCGTCGCACGCAACCCACCCCTCCTCCATCCCCTCCTCCCTCCCACACCTCCCCAGCCCCAGCGGTCCAGTGGAACCTCCGCCCAGTACCACCTCCGCCCCGATTATTTTTCTCCGCGTCGCACTGCACCCCCCCTCCTCCTCTCCTCAGAGTGTGCCCAACGGCTCACTGGAACCTCAGCACAATGCCCCCTCCACCTCGACAATGCTATTCCGCCTCGCAACGCACCACCGCACCCCCCTCCTCTCCCCAACGTTGCCCAGAGGCACAAAGGAACCTCCGCCCAATGCCCCCTCCGCCCCGACTAGTTACTCCGCGTCGCACCGCGCGCACCCCCCCTGCACACCCCCGTCACAACTCTCCCCAGTGTGCCCCAGAGGTCCAGTGGAACGTCCGCTCAGTGCCCACTCCGCCCCGATCAATTGGTTCCGCGTCGCACCGCGCCCGCCCCCCCCCTTGCCCGACCCCTCCCCAACCCCAGCCGTCCAATGGAACCTCCGCCCAATGCCATCTCTGCCCCGACCATTCGATTCCGCGTCGCACCGCACCCCCCCCCCTCCTCTCCCCAGCGTTACCCAGAGGCTCAGTGGAACCTCCGCCCAGTGGCTCCCCCGCCTCGGCCATTGTATTCCGCGTCGCACCGCGTCCCCCTCTCCCCGCCCCCCTCCCACCCCCCCAGCGTGTGCCCCAACGGCCCAAGTGGAATCTCCGCGGCCGCTGACACCCTCCAATGCCCCTGGAACGAGCGGTT